GAGAATGAGACAGGCTGACATCCATCAGGAGGAGGGAGAAGCTGCTCTAATTTTATTTGTGCATCATTTGTCTACATCAGATTCAATTTAGTGAAGGGCAAAGAAGGGAGACCATTGCAGGTTTTTCTAGGAAGTCTGTCTGGCATCCATCCCCCCCCCCCCCCCCCCCCCCACACACACACACAAAACAAGATCACTATGACTCACTTTTGACATAGATGTACCCGAAACCCATAGACAGATTCTGATGGGTAATTGTGCTGCAGGCTCATGTATTCTGGTGCCCTCATTCTGACTATTCTTTTTGTTTTTCATCAAAGGACCATAGGTTAATTTTGGCTTCTGACCATTAGATACTTGAGTGTGATGTGGCTCAGATGCTAGCTGTCATGACAGTGTGGTAGGAAAGGATGCTGGTGACCTGAATTCCATTTTAGGCTCTGCTCCCATTAGGCAGGTGACTTTTTTGGCTCTCAGTTTTCTCATCTGTGGAATAAGTGAATTGTAATGGCTGATCTCCAGAAACTCTTAGCCATGTGCACAAGCATTTTAGTGACTTTTGTTTTAATTTGGAAAAGAATGAACTTGTTAAATATTTAAAATCAAATACAAAAGATGAGGGAGAAAAGCTATATTTAGAATAGACATTTGCATTTTTTAAATTAAACTCTACATTATGACGTTGATAATAAGAACTAGAGTGAAACAATCTTCACTATTCTCTCTTTAGTACAAATGTGGCACAGATGTGATAATAAAGTCCATATGCAGCCTGGCTTGAAAGTATCTGATTAGACATAAAATGTTAAAAATAAGTAAATTGAGCTATCAAGTTGTTTTAGGCAGCACAAAGAATTTTTTAAAAATCCAGCTACTAAAACATTGAAAGATGAAATTCATTTTTCCAATTGATTGGTTCTAGTCTCATTTAGGTTTAGTGAAAAGAGAAAGAAGTAGCTTCTTTCTGTGTGTTAAGTAAATATCTTAATCATTTGAAAATGAAAGATAGTGTAAAATTGGTATTTTAAGAACATTCTCTGGTTTGTCCTCCTGTATTCTTTAATAAAATGAACTATCCTTAATGGATCCAGGTATTCTAAATTGCAGTTGGTAAGTGTGACATTTTAAGTGATTTTATTTTTTCATATTAGTTAAGGACATTGTCTTGAAAAAAAGCATAACCCAAATTTTATTCCAGTTTTTAACAATACAACCAACTTAGGAAATACCAAGAACTGATTGTGGTGATGGTAGAAATACTAGTCCCCATGCTCCTTGTACTTTCCCCATTAACAACAAGTGAATTCATTATTTTACTCTTTCTGTTCCCCTCTCAAAAAATAGTTTATTTGTTATTTAAAAAATTACCCATGAATGAAGACTGATCCATTTGGTGGCTCCTCCTACCCTTTCAAAACAATCAGTTTATACATTTTTTGCTACTCTTCTTGGGTTAGTTTGCCTTCTTCCATATGTGCTTTTATTGGCATATTGCTGTGCCACCTGCTTGGAGTTTTGGAGTATATTAGCTTTGAATGCAACATAGACTTCGGTCTTTTTTTTTTTTCTTTGTCTCGTGAGACATTTAGATGAAAATAGAATCTTTGATTTTAATAACTTATGTGTTCTTTCTGCTTATTTCTATGAGGGACATTGCAGCTGGTTGCTATGGAATTGCTTGATAATTAATAAAGATTATAACTTTAGATAGAAATTGAAGAGACAGGGTAAAATCAGATTTTCATATATTGGCCCAGACCTGTTAATTTAAGAGTAACAATTATGGTTTTGGTGAAAAATTTTAGAAAGTTAGGTTCAAAGTGTGCCTTATGTCAAAGGGAAAGTCTTAATTTTAGTTCCTGCTAATAACCACATGATGAAAGGTTACCAATGGGGGGAAAAATGCACATACACAGATACACATATACTCTTTATATATTATTACTCATGATTCCTAACAGTCTTTTGGACTAAATAATTTCCCTGTATATTTTTGTTGAGCAAAAACGAAGGTAGTGTTCTAATACATAACCTTAGTTCTGGAATTTAAAATTTAATTTTAGTTTCAGTGTCCTTCTAATAGTGAGTTTAAAAAATACATGTTCATTAATATTATGCATTGAAAAAGGAGTTTGTGGCCATTTTGTTGTACATTCTTATAATAACTTGATTAGTGGCATGTGATTTTACTTCTCTAAGTTTCTTTTCCACATTTGTATAAAATGGAGGTTGTAGGTATGAGCATAAGAGATGGGAGTGTAGGTTAGAACAATTTCTAATATCTCTTCCATTTCTAAATATTTTATGATATTATGGAAGCAAAATGCATTGATGGTTCCATGACCACATCTATTTTTGCCTTAGGGGTTTCTGAAATATTTAATTATATTCTAAATAATTTAATTTGGTTAACTATTAAACATTTAAAATTTGTCAGAAGTGTCTTTGTCAAATAAGAATTTGATTTGACTTTCAAAGAATCTGAACAAGGCTGAATATAAATGGATTGGAGTAATTTATCAGTACCCATTCTTTTATTTTATTAGTTGAATTAATTTGTGAGCATTTGGCCCAGGGAATATGTGTAACTCTTCATTTTATTAATGGTTTAGCCTTAATGCTATCTTTCTTTTAGCTTGCAGTAAAAAGTAGTTACAAACTTTTTAGGGTTCTTATCTTCCATATATATATATGTATATGTGTGTGTGTGTGTGTGTGTGTGTGTGTGTGTGTGTGTGTGTGTATCTAATATGCCAAGTGTCCATCCACCTGGTCACTATGACGCGCACTGACCACCAGGGGAAGACGCTCAACACAGGAGCTGCTGTGACACACACTGGCCATTTACAGAGAAACGGCACTGCGAACCTGACACCCACAAAGCAATACTTGGCTTCCCCCAGTGGGACACAAGCCCCATCACCACCTCGGAGTGACAGCCCACCAAATCACAGCGGACTCTGCTGAGACTTCATGGCACAAAATTCGGCCCACAGCCCATTCTGGAAATGGTGGCTGTTGTGCCAGGTAATGACATCACGTAGCAATGCCCAGCTTCCTCTCCCTAGCGACTAGCCTCCTTGCAGTCTCTTCAGCCCAGGAACACGACTTGCTTTATAGCCAGGTGGAAACATTTTACACTATAACCAAATGTCTGTGAAGCATTTTTCTGTGCCTCATCTCATTTGATCCTCACAGAAGTCCTGGAGTAGGTAGATAAGAGATTCGGTGGAATCCTATTTTCTTTTCATTAGCTGGAAAATGGAGATTTAGAAAGCTTAGAAACTTGACCCGACTGAAAACAGGTAAGAAATGGTGGACCTTGAAAATGACTTCAGGTTTTCTCCTATAAAGTTCATAAGCAATAAAATAAATACAGCTGTCATTCTCTTCTACTTATTCTTTTCTGGATGTTTGATGAGGTGACTATTTTGTTCTCTACCTAATCTAGTTGCAATAGTGTTTTTTCTTAAAGAAAAAAAGCCAATAAGTTATATTATGTTACCATTATTTTTATAATCAAACTAGTGGCCTGGTGCACGAATTCGTGCACATTGAAAGGAAATTAATTAGAAGAAATATTTTAATATTGCTATTCACCCTTTCTCTATAATAGAAGTGTCAACCATATTCACAACTGACAATGACAGATCGAAACACACATGTGCGATTGGCGCCAGCGAGAGCTTCATATGTATTACACATGTGTGAGTCAACTTAGCCTTTTGTAGATATAGAATAAACTTGCTTAATTAGACCTGCTTTCTGATTTAGCTAGATTTTTTCCAGCCCAGTGAAGCACCCCAACTTCTCTTTCAGGTAATTGTCAGCAACACAGCAGTAAATATCAACACAAAGTAGATTATTATTGTAGATCACGCAGGGAGAACAAAGGGTAAAATATTTAACTGCAGCAGTGTTTGACTATATTCTGCACAGTGAGGAAACTTGAAGTCATTTTCAAGGTCCACCATTTCTTCTTTTTAGTCAGGTCTATTTTCTAAGCTTTCTAAATCTCCGTTTTCCGGCTAATGAAAAGAAAATAGGATTCCACCGAGTCTCCTGTCTACCTACTCCAGGACCTCTGTGAGGATCAAATGAGATGAGGCATGGGAAAACGCTTCACAAACATTTGGTTAAAGGGTAAATGTTTCCACCTGGCTATATAGCAAGTCGTGTTCCTGAGCTGAAGAAACTCCAAGGAGGCTAATCGCTAAGGAACAGAAGCTGGGCTTGCCACGTGACATTATTACCCAGCACCCCCAGTGACCGTTCTGGGCTGGCCATGGTGTGTTGGCAGCATTGGCTGTGATTTGGTGGGCTGTTGCTCCGGGGTGGTGGCAGGCCTATGTCCCACTTGGGGAGACCCGAGTGTTGCTTTGTTGGCCAGATGGGCGCTGCCATTTCTCCGTAAATGGCCAGTGTGTGTCACGGTAGCTCCTGCGTTGAGTGTCTACCCCCTGGTGTTCAGTGTGCGTCATAGCGACCAGTTGGGCAGTGGGAAGGACACTTAGCATATTAGCCTTTTATATATAGACTAGAGGCCCGGTGCATGAAATTCGTGCAGGGGGGCTGTCCCTCAGCCTGGCCTGCACCCTCTCCTATCCGGGACCCTTTTGGGGATGTCGGTTTAGTGGGATCGGGCCTAAACTGGCAGTCAGACATGCCTCTCGCAATCCGGGATCCAGGCAGCTTTGCCCGGGCCACAGCTGCAGGCACCTGGGACTGGGACCGGGGGCAGGTCGGCTTCGCCGGGGCATAGCTTTGTCAGAAAGGATGTCTGGAAGGTCATCCAGAAGATGTCTGGTCTAATTAGCTTTTACCCTTTTATTAGTACTGTAGATGATCAGCGGAGAAAATACCCTAGTAAGTGTGAGGCCCTTTGAAATCTTTGTGTGAAGGGAAACAGCCATGTAACTCTGGTGTCCTATTGAGTAATGTACATTACCTATGTACGTTAGTTTTGCACTTTCCATGGTGATGTTGTGTCGTTTATTTAGACATCCTTGGAACAGAAGATCTTCTTGTGGAAGCCACTGCCAATGATGCCGTGAGATTTTATCCTTGGACCATTGATAATAAGTACTATTCAGCCGACATCAATCTATGTGTAGTGCCGAACAAGTTTCTTGTCACTGCAGAGATTGCAGAGTCTGTCCAAGCATTTGTGGTTTACTTTGACAGCACACAAGTAAGATTTTCTTTTCCATGGAATTTTGAATAAGAATTTATCTTGTGCTTTCTTTTCCCCCTCCTGCTTTTTTTTGTGAGTTCTCTTAATGTCTGTGTTTCTGCTTTTTTTTGTTTTTCCTCCCTCTAGAAATCTGGTCTTGATAGTGTCTCCTCATGGCTTCCCCTGGCAGAAGCATGGTTACCTGAGGTGATGATCTTGGTCTGCGATAGAGTGTCTGAGGATGGTAAGCACTTGGATGGGATGGATGGTAGTTTGTACATACATTTGCCATTTCTTGGTAAACAGAGTCTATTTGTTTCCTTAACTTAGAATAGTGTATGTCATGTGACTTTATTACTTTACAAAAATATTTTTAGCTAGTTCTCTTTGGAATCTTGGGATATTTACCTTTTTTTTCTTATTTTTCTAAATAGTGGACACTTTTGAGAAATACTTTTCTTTATATTGTGGTTCCTACAGAATAATATTGACATTAATGAAAACATTTAAATTTATGAATACTATTGCAGCAATATTCATATTTTATTTTAATTTAAAATTTTTAAAATTTATTTATTTTAGAGAGAGAGAAACATTGATTTTGTTGTTCTACTTATTTATGTATTTATTGGTTGATTCTTGTATGTGCCCTGATCCGGGATCAAACCTGCGACCTTGGCGTATCAGGATGACACTCAACCAACCAGGCTCATATTTTACTTTTATTTGTAAATATTTTTAAATAATTTAAAAAATTATTATTTTAGGGGTAAACCGACAAAAAGCTCAAGAATGGTGTATAAAACATGGCTTTGAACTGGTAGAACTTAGTCCGGAAGAGTTACCTGAGGAGGATGGTAAGTGTTTATGTTGTGAGAAAACATGGCATGTGGGTTGAGATATGAGATTATTTAATTCTTGAAAGAATCACAGTGAAATTCAAAAAACCTTTTTTCCCCAGCTGCTTGAAAAAATTTGTGCAAAATCCATCGAAGTGGTCTTATCATTAACTAAATAATTCATTCATTTGTCAATTTTAGGACTTTTGAAATGTTTGTTTTTCTTATGCATAAAGGTAGAAGATTTCTACCTTAAATCTTAGTCATTTCCCTAATCTCTTATCCTTTCTCCACGTCCATAAAAGGAGAGTTTAATCTATATTCATAAATAGGTAAAGTTGCCTATTTTGAATTCCTACTAACCTGAGGCTGAATCCCCAAGAACCATAGCGGGTATGTCAGTCCTATTTGTATGTCTTTTGCACATTTGAAATAAAAAATAGAATGCCCTCTAGGGTAGCTCTGCATTTAACTGCTTTCTACTATAGTCTGGACCTTCTTCTGTTTCTTCCTCCACTTCATTTCCCCTCCCCCATTTCTCTTCTCATCTTTGTTCCTTCCAAGTATACCTATGCTAGCTGCTATGGAATCTACCAAGATAAGATGGCTTTTGGGCCATCAAAACCATATAATCTGGTACAAAAGATAAGACGTATATAAATAATTAAATTACTAAGTGGGACATCATAAGTTTGATTAAAAAATATTGGTACTGTGGTATTTCAGAGACAGAAGAGATTATTTTAAAGAATGAATTGGCACCATGAACTCTCACATGTCAACTGGTCCATGGGGGAAAGATGGAAAATATACTGGAATTGTATTTAGAGGACTAGTGGGGAAATAGCATTGAGAAATGCCAGTTGTTCCGAAAGACATTCTAGGCAGGGGCATCCAGTACAAATTAAATTATGTAGATAGGATATAAGTAATCCTTACATGAAACATATTTTTTAAAGGAGCTAAAATGTTCTTCTATATTATGACTTGTTTAGAATTTTTTTCAAAATCTTACCTTTGGGAATAAAACCTTGCCAGGGAAGAAGAGCACAAAAATGAAATAAAAAGGCGGATTTTTCTCCTTGTACATTTTTAAGAATATTGAAAATTAACAAGTGCAATTTCTCCTTCCAGGTTCTTCTAGGTTTTCTAAAACTTGTGCCCTATTTTGTGTATGTGAACATGTGTGTAGTCACTTACTTTTGGTACTAGAATTTTCTCCTCTTTTTGTCCTTGAGAATCAATATTTGAGTCATTTATTTACATCTGTTTTCATTTTGGAATCTCTACTCCTTTATACCAGTACACTTCTTGCTTCTTGTCAGAACAATGTTCTTATATTAATTCAGTTTAATCTTAAAATAGATTTTTGACATGTCATCTTTAGGTAATGTAACTAAAACCTTCCTATAAGCTTTAAATGCAAACAGTTCTCAAGCCATATGCCCTCATCCTTTATTCGCATGTATTAATTTGAACATCAATATGAGAGTTTATGCTTGTTTGTATTAAATTTCATCTTACTGGCTTTCTACTTCAGGCCTAATTTTTGACTCCTGGTTATATCATCTGATATATTAGTTATTCTTTCAAAATTGAATCATTCATTCATAATTAAGATAAACGTGTTTTATTTCTTCATTTAAACATCAATGGTGATAAACTCATTTTTGTAGAGTATTTTTGGTTTAATCCTCACCCTATTTCTGTTAAGTTGCTAGGTTGGTATTCTTTAAATGATTCAGCAACCCAGCAGTTACTAAGTGCCTGCTATCGTTCAGGCACTGTGTTAGGCAGTGGGAATAATGAACTCAGTAAGACATGATTCCTACCTTAGGGAGTATCCAGGCTGGAGGAGAAGGTTACACTAGCAAATCACCAGTTCCACTGCATCTTTCCTCTAGGAAAGGTGTGCACGGAGTGGTGTCATCCCCACTTTGCTGTGATAAAGCGTAAGAGATATTTGCCCTTGATCAAATAGCTAATAAGTTGCAGAGCCTGGGTTCAGATTCAGATCTTCTGACTTCTAATTCTGCGCTCTTCCACTAGAGACAGATTCTCTGTGGACTGTGCTCTATAAACGCATAGGAGACTTTCTTCTTTCAGCCATATGCAGTCTTATAATACTCATTATCTGAAGGGTCTCCATTTCCTTTATACTCATTCATATATACAGTGTAACTAAGCATACCACTTATTATTGGTACGCTAACTGGGATTAGTGCCTTGTTGTTTAGAGTAGTATCAATTAAATTCCAGAAGCAGGAAAATACCAATACTAAACTAACTAAGTTGTTGGATATTTTTAATGACACTTTTCCTGTGTCTTACACTCTGGTTATAGTAACTTAACTTCTATCTCTTAAACTATCTTTCTCTGATCAAGAATTTGTTCTCTAGATATCTGTTTTAAACAATAATTATTTTATGATTCCTAGGAGAAGAAAGGGATTTTTTAGCATACTAAGAGGACCATTCCTGCCTTCAGCAAAATCATTCTCTATAAATTACCAAGATTGGTAGTACTCTCCTAGGATTGTGTAATTAATGGAAATTAACATTTTCAGGAGAGTATAAGTAGGTGTGCCGTTGGTGAGGCAGTGGGATGATCTACACTAATAAAAGAGAAACATGGTAATTGGCGTACGACCGCTACCCTTTTCATTGGCTAATCAGTGAGTATATGCAAATTAACTGTCAGCCAAGATGGCAGCCGGCAGCCAGGCACTGAAGCGAGCAGGGAGGCTTGCTTGCTGCAGATTCCAACGTTCTCCGCCTAACTTGCCAGCCTCTCAGTTGCAACTCTAAGCAACTATATACTATGTTGCAAATAAGAAGCTAAACAAAACCCCAGAAAAGGGCTTCCATTCAGCCGGGCTCAGACCTCAACATTGTATCTATGTTTTCAGCAGCAAGGCCCCAGAGCTAAAGCTGGCCAAAAAAAAAAAAAAAAAGAGAGAAGAAAACAAGGAGCGGTTGGAAGCTTTAGTCACTGGCCAGCCGGAAAACAGCCCTCAGCCCCTCACCCAGACTGGCCAGGCACCCCAGTGGGGAACCCCACACTGATCCAGGACACCCTTCAGGGCAAACCAGCCAGCCCCTACCCATGCACCAGGCCTCTATCCTATATAGTAAAAGGGTAATAGGCCTCCCAGCACCGGGATCAGCGGAGCAGCGAGGCTCCCGGCACCGGGATCAGCATGACAGGGGGCAGCGCCCAAACCCCCTGATCGCCCTGCGGCTCTGTGTGATACAGGGGGCTGCGCCCAAACCCCATGATCGCCCTGTGGCTCTGTGAGTGACAGGGGGCAGGGCCACAACCTCCCTATCCGCCCCACTCTGTTCGTGACAGGGGAAGGCACCCCAACCCCCTGATCAGCCCTCCTCTGTGCCTGATAGGGGGGAGCTCCCCAATCCCCTGACTGCCCTGCGGCTCTGTGTGTGACAGGGGGCAGCGCCCAAACCCCCTGATCGCCCTGTGGCTCTGTGAGTGACAGGGGGCGGGGCCACAACCTCCCTATCCGCCCTACTCTGTTCGTGACAGGGGAAGGCACCCCAACCCCCTGATCAGCCCTCCTCTGTGCCTGATAGGGGGGAGCTCCCCAATCCCCTGATTGCCCTGCGGCTCTGTGTGTGACAGGGGGCAGCGCCCAAACCCCCTGATCGCCCTGTGGCTCTGTGAGTGACAGGGGGCGGGGCCACAACCTCCCTATCCGCCCTACTCTGTTCGTGACAGGGGAAGGCACCCCAACCCCCTGATCAGCCCTCCTCTGTGCCTGATAGGGGGGAGCTCCCCAATCCCCTGATTGCCCTGCGGCTCTGTGTGTGACAGGGGGCGGGGCCACAACCTCCCTATCCGCCCTACTCTGTTCGTGACAGGGGAAGGCACCCCAACCCCCTGATCAGCCCTCCTCTGTGCCTGATAGGGGGGAGCTCCCCAATCCCCTGATTGCCCTGCGGCTCTGTGTGTGACAGGGGGCGGGGCCACAACCTCCCTATCCGCCCTACTCTGTTCGTGACAGGGGAAGGCACCCCAACCCCCTGATCAGCCCTCCTCTGTGCCTGATAGGGGGGAGCTCCCCAATCCCCTGATGTGCCCCAACTCCCCAATCGGCCCTGCTCTGAGCCTGACCAGGGGCTGCACTTAGGGATTGGGCCTGCCCTCTGCCACCCGGGAGCAGGCCTAAGCCAGCAGGTCGTTATCTCCCGAGGGGTCCCAGACTGCTAGAGGGCACAGGCCGGGCTGGGGGACCCCCCCTTCCCCCGCCCCCCCGAGTGCACAAATTTTTGTGCACAGGGCCTCTAGTGTTATAATATAAGACTCTTATACTGTGTGTTTTCTCATTTTTTAGTTTCTAGAATATTCTTAACGGGAGCTCTGAGCTTGGTATTTGCTTAAATTTTTCCTCATATAGGTTGCAATGTGAAGAAGTAACAACTAATAAGCAAAATAATTAAGCCACAGTTATTTAAAAATGTGGCTTACAGTGTGTGTATACACACACACACACACGTATGTATGTATGTATGTATGTATAAGTACATGTATAAATATATATGCTCTTTACCTCACTGATCAGATGACTTCCCAGAATCTACAGGAGTAAAGCGAATTGTTCAAGCCTTGAATGCCAATGTCTGGTCCAACGTAGTGATGAAGAATGGTAAGTAACTTGGGACTAAATGTCCTGAGGAGTTTTCCTCCTATTTCTTGTAAGTTTAAAATTATTTGGATATATGTGGAACCACAAGGATTACATGAAACCTATAGATTTGTTCAATTTTGTCCCCAGTTGAAGGAAGGGCCCAAAGTAATACTTCTAAGAATTTTAAATATATGTGTAATAGTTAATTCAATAAAAATTTAGGACTTGTCTGTAATATGCTGAGAGTTGTCTTTGGCTTTGAGAAGTACCCCCAATATTGTAAAACACAAACCCTCTCCTTAAGGAGCTCATAGCCTACCTGTGCAAAATGTGCACTTTTTAAATGTTAGGTAATCATGCAAGGCAATTGGAGATGAGTGCGGAATGACTGATACAAGCAGTAATGCCGAGACGTCACAGAAGTGGCCTTGGCTCTGGGCTTCAACATATAGGGAGAGCTTCAAGGAGAAAGCCAGTCTTGGAGTAGGCTTTATAGGGTGGTCAAGAATTGGGTTGTGTAGAGGGAAGGTGACAAGCAGGGGAGGAAGCATCACATCAGTAACAGTGGTTGTATATTCTAGTGTCACTTGTGGAATCACACCTAGCAGTGGGACTAGCTTAGAAGATAGAAGCCTGAGTGCTAGACAGAAGGATCTGGGCTTTTCCCCATAGGAATTGATGAGCCACTAGAGATTTTTTAACAAGAGGGTGATGCAAAGAAGTTGTCATCTTTGAAAGGTTATCATGGTTGAGTGCGGGTAGGTTTGGCAGTTGAAGCAAAGGTAGAGTCTGAAGTCTGAATCTGGGAGACTAGGCAGCTGTTACAGCAGCTCGTGAGGGAGGTGTTGGGGCCTGGGCTAAGTGGTGGCTGTAGTCATGGGGTGGAAAGCTGCATCTGGAATGCAGTCTGAAGCAGGTAGGCCTAGTGGGTGCACATGAGCTTCTTATTGTCTGGATTGGTTTTCTGGGGCTGCAGTAACCAAGTACCACACATAGGGTGGCTTAGAATAACAGGTATTTATTGTCTCATAGTTCTAGAAGCCAGAATTCTAAAATCACGGTGTCAGAAGGTTTATGCTCCCTCTGATGGTGTTAGGGAAGGATCTGCTCCAGGTCTCTCTTCTAGATTCTGGTAGTTCTTTGGCTTGAGCAGCATAACTCCAGTCTTCACACGGCATACTTCCTATGTGCCTCTCTGTGTCCAAATCTCTTCTTTTTCTGAGGACAATAGTTATATTGATTTAAGGGCCCACGCAACTCCAGGAAGACCTCATCTTAGCTAAGTGCATCTGCAATGACCCTATTTCCAAGTAAGGTCACATTCTAAAGGATTGGGGTTAGGACTTAAACATATGAATTTGGTGGGGGATACAAATCAACCCATAACATAGTCCTTTAGGAACTGCTGCCTGAATAGTGTTTTTCTCTCTTATGGCCTTGGCTCCTCAACAAGAATGCTGTGCTCAGTGAAATACTGCAGATGGGAATGAGAAAAATAATATTTATAGTGAGCTTACCCCATCTTCCCTGAGATAAAGGGTCTAGTGGCAGATCAGTTTTACAGAAACAAAAGATTTCATCGCAATTTTTGGTCAACACTCGAGTGTTAAGTGCGATTGGGGCTCCTGAGCTTTCTGAGCTCTTGTCTGACCTGTGTCGTCGCTGGAGAAGCTCCTCTGCCTAGTAAGAGTTCCCTCCTCCCTCTCACCCCTCTCCCGCCTACTTAGTCTTTCTAGAGGGATCTAGAATTGCAAAGATACGAGATTATTTTATTGTGATAGCATTCAAAATAAGGTCCTGATCTAGAAAAAAATAAGGAGATTTTACCCTCTGTTGTTATCTTCCTGTTACCAAAACAAACTCAAATTGAGGCTTGGTCCTATTCATTCAGCAAATTCTTATTGAGCATTTATCATAGTGAGGCATTGCTGTACACTATATCTTCACTATAAAAACACCTTTAAGGTATGGTACGTAAACTGGATCAACTTGAAATAAAATTATATTCAATGGTGCTTATTATATGTATGAGAAATATTTTCAGAAAAGCTTATTTGGCCCAACTGGCATGGCTCAGTGGTTGAGCATCAACCTATGAACCAGGAGGTCATGGTTTGATTCCTGGCCAGGGCACATGCCCAGGTTGTAGGCTCAGTCCCCAGTGTGGGGCACCTAGGCAGCCAATCATCAATGATTCTCTCTCATCATTTATGTTTCTATCTCTCCCTCTCCCT